TATAAACACAGGTCCTGGAGCACAGACAGTGAGACAGACCTATAAATACAGGTATAGGAACCAGTTACACTAACACACAGGTGCATAAATGCAGACCCAAACTCAGTTACATTGGTATAGGAGTGTGTTGACAGCGATCCAGGTACACTGGCACACAAAGGTGCTGACAGATTTATAGTTACAGTAGCACATAAATATGCGCACAAATTTACGGGGTACACTAGGACACCAGTGTGTAGATAGATGTACAGATAGAAATAGGCACCCACACTGATTGGCAAAGTATGAACTAGTCATGCTTATGCTAATGGCCAAAGCTAGAAATAGGAATGTACACTAATGGGTAAAACTAGAAATAGGTATGTACACTAATGGGCAAAACTAGAAATAGGTATGTACACTAAAAAACTAGAAATAGGTATGTACACTAATGGGCAAAACTAGAAATAGGCTTGTACACTAATGGGCAAAACTAGAAATAGGCTTGTACTTTAATGGGCAAAGCTAGAAATAGGTGCACTAATGCTGGAAGTAGGTGTGTGCACACTAATGGTTAAAGCTAGATGCAGGTAGGCATGCACTAATGGGTAAAGGTAGATATAGGTGTGCAGACAGATGGGTAGTACTAGAAATGTGTACACACACCCTAATGGGCAAAGGTAGAAATGGGTGTGTACACACCGTGATGGGCAAAGGTAGAAATGGGTGTGTACATCTGTGATGGGTGTGCAGACACCCTAATCATGCCACAGATGGCGTGTGTACAATAGGCTTATGGGCAAAGGTAGAAATAGGGAGGTGTACACAATGGGCCACAAAAGGTAGAAATAGGGAGGTGTACACACCGTGATGGGCAAGGTAGAAATAGGGAGGTGTACACACCGTGATGGGCAAAGGTAGAAATAGGAGGTGTACACACCCGACCCACACACCGTGATGGGCAAAGGTAGAAAATAGGGAGTACACACCGTGATGGCAAAGTAGAAATAGGAGGTGTACACACCGTGATGGGCCACACAATGGTAGAAATAGGGAGGTGTACACACCGTGATGGGCAAAGGTAGAAATAGGGAGGTGTACACACCGTGATGGGCAAAGGTAGAAATAGGGAGGTGTGAGGGCAAAGGGTAGAAATAGGGAGGTGTACACACCGTGATGGCAAAGTAGAAATAGGGAGGTGTACACACCGTGATGGGCAAAGGTAGAAATAGGAGGTGTACACAATGGCGGTGCCACACACCGTGATGGGCAAGGTAGAAATAGGGAGGTGTACACACCGTGATGGGCTGTACACACGTGATGGGCCTACACATGGGCAAAGGTAGAAATAGGGAGGTGTACACACCGTGATGGGCAAAGGTAGAAATAGGGAGGTGTACACACCGTGATGGGCAAAGGTAGAAATAGGGAGGTGTACACACCGTGATGGGCAAAGGTAGAAATAGGGAGGTGTACACACCGTGATGGGCGTAGAAATGAGTGTACACACCACCACCGTGATGCAGGTGTACACACCGTGATGGGCAATAGGGAGGTGTGTGATGGGCAAAGGTAAAATAGGGAGGTGTACACACCGTGATGGGCAAAGGTAGAAATAGGGAGGTGTACACAACCGTGATGGGCAAAGTAGAAATAGGGAGGTGTACACACCCAAAGGTAGAAATAGGGAGGTGCAAAGGTAGAAATAGGGAGGTGTACACACCCTGATGGGCATAGGTGTGTACAAAAGCCAAATACCGCAGCCGCAAGGTGTACACACCTAGCCTAGCCGTCTGTACACGCTAGAAATACGCCTGCGGCGAGGGCGAAAATAGATCAAAAGGGCAAAGGTAGAAATAGGGGAACAAACATTAATGGGTAAAGCTAGAAATAGTTGTGCGCACTAGTAGGCATCTGCGCAATAATGGGCAGAACACACACTAATGGGCTGAGATGGAAATAGCCTCACAACACAAATGATCAGAAATAGAAATATCACACACTAGTTGCGAGATAGAAATAGCTGCAAACAAATGGGCAAACCTGAAAAGTAAAAACACATATTAATGGTACTGCTAGAAATAGGCATGTGCACAAAAATTGGCAGAGCTTAAGAAAAAAAAAAAAAAATATATATATAATAAAAAGAAATTATAATTGCACTGATGGGCAGAGTTTGAAATAGGTGTTTGCACACCAGTGGGCAAAGGTAGAGTTGTCACTCGTGCACTAATGGGCAGGGCTTGAAATAGCCGTGCACACTAGTCGGCAAAGCTAAAAATTGGTGTGTTAACACCAATGGCCAAAGCTAGAAATAGATGTGTACACACTAATGGCCAAAGATAGAAATAGGTGTGTACACACTAATGGGCAGATAGAAATAGGTGTGTACACACTAATGGGCAAGAATAACAAATGGCAAAGATAGAAATAGGTGTGTACACACTAATGGGCAAAAGATAGAAATGGGTGTGTACACACTAATGGGCAAAGATAGAAATGGGTGTGTACACACTAATGGGCAAAGATAGAAAAGATGGCAAAGATAGAAATGGGTGTGTACACACTAATGGGCAAAGATAGAAATGGGTGTGTACACTAATGGGCAAAGATAGAAATGGGTGTGTACACACTAATGGCAAAGTGAAATACACACGATAAAATATACACACTCATGGTCGTGGTCTAGGCTAGAAATAGGCGTGCGGATATGTACTCGTGGTCTAGGCTAGAAATAGGCGTGCGCATATGCACTCTTGGTCTAGGCTAGAAATAGGCGTGCGCATACGCACTCTGTCTAGGCTAGAAATAGGCGTGCGCATACGCACTCTTGGTCTAGGCTAGAAATAGGCGTGCGCATACCACTCTTGGTCTAGGCTAGAAATAGGCGTGCGCATACGCACTCTGGTCTAGGCTAGAAATAGGCGTGCGCATACGCACTCTTGTCTAGGCTAGAAATAGGCGTGCGCATACGCACTCTTGGTCTAGGCTAGAATAATAGCAAGGCTAGAAAAAGGCGTGCGCACTCTTGGAGGCTAGAAATAGGCTGCGCATAGGTCTAGGCTAGAAATAGGCGTGCGCATAGGTCTAGGCTAGGCGTGCGCATAGCACTCGTGGTCTAGGCTAGAAATAGGCGTGCGCATACGCACTCGTGGTCTAGGCTAGAAATAGGCGTGCACATACACACTCGTGGTATAACTTTAAAATTTGCATGCGCTCACATACGCTTGGCCAGGGTTAGAAATAGGCGTGTGCTCACACACGTGGCCAAAGCTAGAAATAGGGAAACAACTGTTACTGAGCAAGCTTAAAAAGAAGCTGCACACACTAACGGGCAAAGCTAGAAATAGGCACACATGGTTATTGCAAAGTTAGAAATGGTTGTGTACTAAGTCATTTACTTGAACTAAAGTATTTATAATAAATCTTTTGAATATTTTTTTGTAATCTGTTAAGATCTCTAAAGTGCACTAACATCTACAGAATATAACTTTTTTGTATGTATTTTTGGTATGTAATAAGTAAATAAGTCAAAGAAAATTGATTACATATTGTTTACCTGGGCAGGAAGACCATGAAAGTGTGATTAAAGTACTTCTCTCATAAGTTTTTCATTAGTAGATCACTTTTCTACTCCACTCTGCTACTGTTGATTGCCATGTCTACTCACAGCTTGATAATACATTGTGATTTGATACTGTTGCTTACTAATACCAATTTGTTCCATCTCTCCTTACCCATCTCTTCTTCTTAAGCTTCATTGCCACGTGTATGTTAGGCTTTGTGTTGGCTAGCTGTTTACCTGGCTCATTACCTGGACCTACCAGCCTACAGACAACACCTTTCCATTTACAGTTCTACCATTTAGTGGTCTTTACCTACTTTACAGCTACAATATTGCTTTAATTTTCTTCTGTTTATTACTGTGCATTTTGCTCACTCTTAACCACAACAGCATAGATACTAAACACATTGCCATTAGCACAGTCAGTATGTACACATACATTCCTGCATTAAAACCTCCCTTATTGGCTTTTCTTTTACTTGGTAAGAATGCATTGATTACGCTTATTAGCCTTTTGAATGCAAGTTTAAGCTTTTGTATGAAGGTAAATGCACTGCCCTGTCATTTTTGTGAATTGTCCCAAGTACACAGCCACCAAGGATTAGATAAGCTTAACGTAACCTTGCCTGATATCCCCAATCCTCAATTTATTTATTTTTTTCTCCCCCCCCCCCCTTCTTAATGCTATTCATGCAAATAAAAAAAAATATATAAAAATCAAGGTAATTGCTAAACAGATGTGATAGTAGAACTGTTGATAGACATAACCTCCCACAAAGGTTTTAACGATAGATGATGACTAGTACTTTGGAGCCATCTGTGTAAATCAGTGGACATGGCATATATGTTATGCATATAAAAAAAAATATATAAAAATCAAGGTAATTGCTAAACAGATGTGATAGTAGAACTGTTGATAGACATAACCTCCCACAAAGGTTTTAACCATATAACAAGTGCGATTTTTATTCACTTCATTAACAGTAACATAGCTGACATGCCAGTCTAGGACCAATTGACAAAAATATTCACACATGAATGTAGCTGAAGTCCATTTACTATAAAATTACTAGCTATAAACATGCCCATCAACATTATGCAAAATTCTTGTTAATGAAATAAGAAAAAGGAACTTCTGATTAATATATGCCTTTATATAGATCTATGCCTTCTACCTTTACACTGATGTACTATTGGAATTCATAGATCAATTAATTGGTCATTGATGATTTTTACTGAAATTTGTTCTAGACTGCCATTTACTTCAGTTTTTAAAGTGATTTAGATTCCCTTGTGTCAATGACATTATTTTTATACCATGAATGGCAGAATTCTGGTTTAAATATTCATGTTGAGACAACTAGGGCTAAGGTTGTCATTCATTGAATCTTGTTCCTGTCCATCCTAAATGCATGGCCATGTGCCTTCCACACTTGGGTGTACATAGCTTATACTTGTGATCATACTGGCATTGCGACCAACTGTGAGGAAGCCCATCTAGGTTGATTGATGCTGTTCTTTATCTCCATAATACTAATTCACTGATTTTAGGAAAACAAGCAGCCAACCTAATTCTTAGATGTGCTATAATTTGATATTGCATGAAATGCTTTCCTTGTATTCTATGAAGTAAGCAACCACATAGGTTTCGGAAAAAATTATTTCTTGTCAGTTTACCTAGGCTGGCTAAGTCATCTTGCCAATGAGATTTTGATTTTTAGGTACTATGTATATACACTTGATACCAAATAAAAATTTCTTGCATCAATTAAATGATCTGGTAATGTTGATTTTGAAATACAGGTTGATATGTCAGTCCTTAAAACTGCAGAAACTTGAAAGAAAAAAGTAAATAAATGTAAACTGTGTTACCTGTTTGTTAGATATGAGTGATGAAGATTAATTTGAATATTTGAGTGTAATCAATGATCAATTTAGATTTGATATTAAAATTGTATAACAGTATAGAGATATATAAAACTTGAGTTGTCATTATGTAATAAGATATGGACAATTGTTTCACACTATTGCGTTGACCTCTTCTTGATTACCAGAGAAGCATGAGAAGGTGCCCTTGATTTGTACATGTATTTGTGATTTGTGTATACAGTTCATACTGTAATACTTTAGTGTACATATTTAATATGCGTACATATACATGTGTACATATAATCCAGTTTGCATGAAGTTTTGTTAACTGAATTTTAGCATGATGCTGTGACCGTATTATGAAATATATTTGCATCTTTGAATCTTTTTATGGTTAAGTAATTGATCTTGTACAAAGCACTTGAGATATCACTGTCTATGTATATAATTTTTACTCATTGGTTTTGAAGTGTGGCGTGATTTTGCATGTCTTAACAGTTTTTCTATCAATATTTGAATTGTGTTCCCAGTTATTAATGAATGGATGAAATGTATATGAGCATTATTCAATGTAATGTTTTCCAATTCCTAAGTTGCTTACAGTATGTGTAAATACTGTTATGCAGCAACAAATTGACCATTTTATAGGAACAAGACCCCCTCTCCAACATTGCACTCTCTGCATATCAATGGTTTTGAGGAAAGGTATCGTGATATTGTCTGCAAATGCCTAGTTAACATTCCATTTTTTTTAGTGCACTGTAATTCAAGAACACTTCCCCCAACTATTACAGCAATTAGTACCTATTTTCATGAATTTTGAAGTGTTTACCATCTCCCACACAACATGGAGGTTTCAAAGTCCCTTAGTGTTCTCATTGAATGCATCTTATTTTCAATTACTCAAGTGCAAAAACTAGCCTTCTGTCTGCTTCTGTACAGTGTGTCAATCATCATTTTTATTTTTCCAAGTCCAACTTTTTTCCACATTTTCTGTAGTACATACAGTCTATGAAACAGGAAAAAGAAACTTCACTATGACAGGCTTCCTCTGTTTTGCTGTCGTGCAGGCTTTCTCATAAACTGTGCTATCTATATTTCTCCATTTACTTGTTTTTATTATACTTGAAGTGAAACTTTCTCTGGCCTTGTCTTCAAAATTATAGCACATCACAAAGTAAATCTGTACTGTCCTTATAGTATTCTGCGAGAGTGAGCCTGATTTGAAAAGAATAATGAAGTCGTCCTTCAGCATTTATCATTATCATCGTCGTCATTGTTATTTTGATCTTGGATTGAAAAAAAAAAAAAAAAATTACTGGGTATTTAAGAATTATCAAATGCTCAATGCATTCAAAATTCATAGCCTTCTGCTATATTTAGGCTATGTTTTAGCTAAAAGACACTTGTAGTGACAAGTGTGTTACTCAGAGGAGTGGATAACTTACTGATGAAATTAGGTAATATCTGACTTAAAATTAGTCTTTTCTCATTTTGATGATTAGAACAGATTAACATCAGTTTCAAATTTTATCATTATTTTAGTTTAGACTTCAACTATTGTTCTATCGTTGCTATTACCATGATTACCACCTTTACTTCTATGATTACCATAGCCATTTTGCAAACTTTTGCTATCAGCATCTAATCCTGAATTAAATGGAGTACTACCTAAATGATGATTATATTGCCTAGGTTATTACTGTCATTATTTATGATATAGCTATTAGTGTCACTGGTTCGTCCTTAGTATTTTTGTTCATTTCAGTCCTTGTATTGGTATTTATTTTGTTTTTTTGTGGTTCTTTTTAATGCTAATAGTCTGTTATTTTTGTCCTGTTTTATTTTATTTTGTAACTCCTATTTTCCTCTTACAGAAAATGTCCTATTTTGATCTCATAATTTCTTTATCATTTATTCTTGTCCTATTGTAATGATTTTTATCCATTCCAGAACTAGTTACTAGTAGTAGTAAATGTGATGCAAATAAAAATGCCAGTACTTGAAAGTTGAATAGTCCTGGTGGTGCTACAACAGCTGGTACTATTATTGCCACCACTGTTACTACTACTTGTGCTAGTACTGTTACTACTACTTGTGCTAGTACTGTACTAGGTGCTACTGTTACTACTACTTGTGCTAGTACTGTTACTACTACTTGTGCTAGTACTACTACTACTTGTGCTAGTACTGTTACTACTACTTGTGCTAGTACTGTTACTACTACTTGTGCTAGTACTGTTACTACTACTTGTGCTAGTACTGTTACTACTTACTGCTACTGTTACTACTACTTGTGTAGTACTGTTACTACTACTTGTGCTAGTACTGTTACTACTACTGCTACTGTTACTACTACTTGTGCTACTACTACTACTTGTGCTAGTACTGTTACTACTACTTGTGCTAGTACTGTTACTACTACTTGTGCTAGTACTGTTACTACTATAGTACTGTTACTACTACTTGTGCTAGTACTGTTACTACTACTTTGCTAGTACTGTTACTACTACTACTAGTACTGTACTACTACTTGTGCTGTTACTACTACTTGTGCTAGTACTGTTACTACTACTTGTGCTAGTACTGTTACTACTACTTGTGCTAGTACTGTTACTACTACTTGTGCTAGTACTGTTACTACTACTTGTGCTAGTACTGTTACTACTACTTGTGCTAGTACTGTACTACTACTTGTGCTACTACTACTTGTGCTAGTACTGTTACTACTACTACTGTGCTAGTACTGTTACTACTACTTGTGCTAGTACTGTTACTACTACTTGTGCTAGTACTACTAGTAGTACTGTTACTACTACTTGTGCTAGTACTGTTACTACTACTTGTGCTGCTAGTACTGTTACTACTACTTGTGCTAGTACTGTTTTTACTATTACTACAACTGCAACTACTACTAGCATTGTTACTACAATTTCCACTATTGTACTATTATTACTTTACCTATTGTTTTACTGGAGCTGTTGCTATCATTATGACTGCTACTATCAATAAGATTACTTTTTACTTCCTACAACTATTTCCAATACTGTAGTGTCATTTTATCATTAAGATTTTATTTATTTGATTCATATCATTAATATTAAGGTTATTTTAGTTGATTCATTTTGTGTGTTTACATTAATCTGTTATAGTTCCTGCTATATCACCAAGGTTAATATTTTTATTATTAGTTAAGGGGTTTAAAACAGGCTGATTCTCGCTGTATATCATTTATATTCTATTGCCCATTCCATTTCTGACTTCTCCTTTCTCTGTGTTTTTCAGAGGCTACCTGAACCCTGGAACAAAGGTAAACAGTCCACCACCATCTTGGTCCCTGTCTCGCTACCAGTAGCCACTCTAGTGCTTTCTTGACACCAGTGTTTTTATTTTAGTTTTTTCCCTACCTTCTACATAGTTCTTAGGTTTATGGAACCCCTTTAGTCTTATCAAATCACTTCTTGTGGCCTCTGCTTTAGTCACCAGCACATTTTTTCCTCCATCACAGCATTCTCGTAATATAAAAACAAAAACAAAATAGTCCACCAAGGACAGTTCTTGCAAGAACATCTGTTCCTCATTGTCCCTTTCTTTAGGTTACTTACATCTGTTCTGGATCTACTTGTCCATTAACCTTTGGTCATCGCTGCTGCTGTTGCTTAAGTTTTTTTTTTTTTTTTTTTTTTTTTTTTTTTTTATTCGTTTTTTATTTAGCAGTATTATCAACACTTACTTTTCTCACTTTTTGCGAGATATACCATCTGCTGTGCATTTTTTCATGCTTCTTTGCTTCAACTGTTTCCTTTTCTAAGTGGTACTTTAGATCCTCCCACCCCCTCCCCAGAAACACTAGTAGGATTCCCCTTTTACAGCATTTATGCAAAATTTATGTAATATATCCATATGGGGGCACATTTGTATTGTATTGTTGCACATTTGAAGGTTGCATATTATTAAGGCTTTTTTATTATTGTTATTGTTAATGTTTACAATGGCATATCTGCATTTCTTTTGGCAGATCTTTTTTTTTTTTTTTTTTTTTTTCCCCTTCCCATTACAGGATCTCGCATTTCTTGTGACTTCTTTCTCCCTGTGCATCTCCTACACCTTTTATCTCGTTAACTTTGACCTTTGTTATGGTCCATTACTGTTGTTTTCCCTAATAGAAGCTCTTGGTCAGCTGTTCGTTGCACCATTTGACACTCGGAGCTTTCTTCGACCATTTTCATGGGTCTATCCCCATACTTTCCCGATGGTCCTTTTTTTGATGGAACCAATTTTTTTGTCTTCTGTAATTGGTTATTTTCTCACGAGGACGTCATTTCCCTGTGAAAAGAACCGGTATGAACTTGACCACATTTTACATATAGAGAATGCTAGCTACCCTATGTTCATGTTTCACACACCCTGCAATTGACTTAATGTTTTCCTCACTAGAATCTATTTTGTTATAAATTGCTTATTCATGCCTCCAGCAGTACCACTAGTTCCAGACAGCTTTACCTGTTGCCCCCATTGTTATTAAGCTAATTAACTTGTACCCCTCCACCAAGTTATTGCATACATTGCACACATTGGAATTACTCATGCCTAGCCTCCAGAATTGTTTAAGTATAACCATAGGGATTTCCCAAGGGTTCCAGTTACCTTCCAGCACAATCGTCCGCCCATACTTGTAGGCCAATTAAACTCGGGCAATTACCAAGGAGTTGCTGGGAGAACTGGTCAAGTGTACCTTCTCTGATTCCCCATTGATGTTTTTTATACCCCTTAGTGTATTGATTTGTGATTATCATTACAAATTCCCCCACATGCCACTTGTCCTTATAAAATCCCCACATGCCACTTGCTCTACATATATATATATATGTTCTAGTTGATTGCACTTCCTCCAGCAATATTTACTATGTTCATACGTTTTAATTGCCATTTCTTAAAAGCAAACACAGTTTCCACTTCTCAGTGTGGGGGCACATTTTTTTTTATCACCGAGAGCCAATAATGTATACTGGTATTTTCCTCACGTTGGGCCCCCATTCTCCCACGTCCCCCCTTATTATCCACTTTTCCTCCATTTTCCCACTTGATTCTCCATTCTATCCATTTCCCCCACGTTCTCTGCAGCTCTACCACTTGATAATACACTTATCCACCATTTTCCTTCTTATTACCCCTCGCCCCCCCCCTCCAGTAAGACTGCCATTGCAGATATCGAGTTCTGGTATGTCGGTGAACTGATTTTTCTCATCCTTTGTATCCTAACCATAGGCTTTATCGACGTTCTCGCCTCCTTTCTGTGAAATGTATATATATCCTGATGCTCTCATACGCAGAATTATATACATCTTTAGTGTTTCCTCCTCCACGTTAATTAACTTTCCCAGGTACTTTCATTATGGTATTTACCTTATGGAGCTACGTATGGTAAGTGTGTGTGGTGTGTGTGTGGGGGGGGGGGGGTGCATATTCGTGGATATAAATGTGGGCGTAAATTTTCAAATGCTGTTTTTTATAACGTGTAAATGCACAGAGGAACATATATACACCCATAGACATGATATTCTGGATGGAATGGATGGATGAATGGATGGATGGATATGGATAGATATTATATAAATGGATGGATGGATGGATGGATATATATAATGGATGGATAGAATGGATAATGGATGGATGGATGGATTAGATGGATATATATATAATGGATGGATGGATAGATGGATAGGTTTGGGAACATGCATGAATACTTTTTTTTATACCTATGTGTATGTAGATGGACAGCATATACAAGTTAATATATTTTTGTGCTGTTACGATTTTTATACTCCTAAAAGGCTGGGAACAGCTCATGAGCCCGGGTGACCCTGAACCAATGAATCCCGAAACAACACGAATATATGTTTATAAATGCGTTTTGTTTCGGGTTTCATTGGGCCAGGGCCGCTGCAGATCGTGAGCTGCGCCCAACTGTTGGGACTGACAACATGGGTATATTTACGCATATATTGCTTGTCTGTATAGCGTATGAATATGGGAGTGTACGTTAATGTGTGTTTGAATGTGCACATAAGTGTGTGTATTTTATTTGGATATACACATGTCATGTGTGGACATTTAGGTCTATGGATGTGGGATTACATGTAGGTGTATAGGATGTGTATATACATATACATGCGTTTGTATTTTTTGTCATAATATATAAATGAATTATTATAGTACTGTATTATGTCTGAATAACAATGTTTGTATATCAGATCTTTTGTTAGATATAAATATATACCATATGTTGACGTGCATCATTCTACGTATCCACCCTTTGTGTGATTAGATTAGCCACCTCTCTCCCGCCTCTGTTTAACGCCCTTGGGGAGACAACGTCTTTTTCTCAAACAAATGTACCCCCCCCCCCCCTTCTTTCCAACTTCCTTCCCCTCGCCTTCCAGGACGGATCAGGGGAAATAGCTCATAGGAGAACGGAGTGACAGCCATAGTCATGGCCAGGGAGACTGGCGGGGGTTGTTTTCGCCAGGTCGTCATGGTAACCGGACCATTGCGGCGCGACCCGCCACCTCTTGGTTTCCTCTCGTCATCCTCGGGTGACCTCGCGCGGCCCTCCCTTGCTCCCTTGCTGGCTCGTTCTCAGGCTCTCTTGCTAGTCTGCTCTGGGGGAGAAGCGTGTCAGCCAGCTAGCCCTAACGATTTCTTTTCCTTGGTTGGTGTAGGGGGAGGGGGAGATCTTGGGCACATTTTTTCCCTGTGTGTGGTAAGGGCGGGGTCTTATGATCCAAGTTTTCTGATAATCTGAGATTGATTGTGTGACATAAGCCGTTATTGTTGATATTATGGAGGGATTTTCTACTATATTTGTATTATATATCTTCAGTTTTTTTTTTATTTTTTTATAGAGGGATAGATATCTCTTAGAGACTATCCTGTTGGGAAATGGAGAGTCGGATGTTTTGTGAGAAATGTTAGAGGGGAACCGGAGTGAAGTATTTTAATTCTGTTTTAGGAGGAATCGGCTCGGGCTTTGATGCCTTTTAAGGAGGAAATAGGCTGTATTGGTTTGAGGGACAGAATTTATAAGGCATGACTAAAAGATTGAGGGTTATGGTTGGCCGTGCTGCGGGGAAGGAAGCCTTGGGCATAGGCTTTGTAAACAAAATGCATTTATGTCAAGGAAATGATTGGCTAACGCCTTTTTATTTGTTTGTTTGTTTTGTCTGAGGGCTGGGGCTGAAGGCTTGACGCATAACGGGACAAAAAGCTTTTGTTCGGCCGGTACTTCGGCTCAGAATGCGGGCATGTGAGTCATTCTAGCTCAAGGATTGAGTGCCGGGGCGGCTGTTGGGGGGGGGGGTGTCTTAGGATGGGTCGTAGGATATTTCATCAGCGCTGAGGACTGAGATGCAGGGGGAAATGGCTGGTTGGTTGTTGTGATGGGTGGAGACGAACAGCGAGAAGCTACGTTCATCTGGTGGTTGCTGCAGTGTATGTAAAAAAATAGGGAGGTGATAGAGACCTTTGTTCATCGACTTGGCCAACGTCTCAGTTTTTACGTTGGTGTATATTTATTTCTGCTACGGTCGCAAAAAAAGTTCAAAAAAAGACACCCCTAAAAAGCGCGGGGCCTCTCCCGCGTCGCGCTTGGTGGTAGTGTATGGTTTGCAGGGCTTGGGGAGGGGAAGGGCGAGGGAGGGAGGGATTAACGTGGCTGGCATCACCCCCGCATATTGCTGATGACGTCACCACATCCGGGACCTACCCACGCCCATGCTGCTCCTTAAACGTAGCTTAAGGGTGCTCCACCCGCACCATGCTCTTCCTTAGTCATACCTTCCTAGTATGGTTATGGTAAATGGCGTGGTAGACTATTAACTAATACTTCTGATAATGGAACCTCGGTGTATCTCGCAAATGTCGGTGATAGGAGTCTGGGCTCGCCAGTTCTCATCTCCTTTGTTTCATCTTAAAAGTTGATGCCGAAGGGTAAAGCGAACTGCATATACGAAGGGAACCCGAGTTTCTGCGAGAGGATGACCTGAATTTCAACGCCGTTGACATCAGGACCGAGGAGGAGGAGGAGGAGCTGAAGTCGCATCGTGTAAGGTTACAGCTGCGATATTTATGCTAGCTCCGTTTAGCTTTTATTGACGTGGGTGAGCGATGATGATTGATGCTGCATGGTGGCGTCTGCCTTTTCAGTGCCCGCAGCCTCTCCCTTTTCCTCTTGTGTCGCCGACAGCAGGGCAGTTGAATTGTAAGTCGTCCGTCGGCAGGCGAGGTAAGGCAGCCTGTAGCGCGGAGTCT